TTTTCAACAAAATATTGCGCCCGCGATCACCATGAAGAAGCCACTGTAATATGTCGTCTCGGAAGACGCAATTTGAAAGCCATTTCAAGTTTTAGCTTAAAGGTAAACAGACTTAATTTGCATTTCCTTCGGTAGAAAAGCAGAAACGCAGAAACGAGACTTAAGAAATTTTTCTCATCTACAATCTTTTATTTATCAGAGGAAGTTAGTTTAGTCGCCAAAGTGGCGACTAAACTCGAACTTTTAGTCGCCACGTTAAAAGTTTTAGTCGCATTGGCGACTGTATCGGTCGCAATTTCGAGCCCTGCACTAAAACCCACTTCATAGAAGTGGCCAAAAAATATTTGGAAACGTATTCCTCATCTAATGCAGCAGCACAAAACCCCGAGGAAAATTAAATGAAATAAGAAAAAAGAAAGTGGTCAGACTAAGACTGATCGACTTAGAGTGACTTAATTTTCCCGCGAAACGCTTTAATAATCCGAAACTACCGTGATGTCACGCGAACCTCTTCAACGTGTCGTCAGAATATTAATTTCTGACTAATTCGTTCCCATGTCACTCAAACGCCAGAAATTACATTATTTGCCGAGCAGTTTCATGCATCAACGATCAAACGTTGTCCTTGCACAACATCTAAAACCCTCAGAGAATTCAGTGGCAAAGAATGGAGGAGAAATATACAAAAGATATCCGGACCAGTGTCAGTAACTCCGCACCAACCCCTCTCCTAATCCAACCAAAGTCAACGGATAATAATTTAGAGTTAGTGTCGGGTCAGTTGTTCAGATACTTACAAGTACATCATCAAGGCCAACGTTTCAGTAACTGAGCAACTCCCCTAAACCATCAACAGCCAATCTAAATTTAATTTAATTTAATTTATTCGCCACGGTAATGGCAGGAGAAAGGAACAGAACTTCCCTTTTTTTCCCAATTGACACCTAACCCTAATTCCCAGTAAACAGGCCAGACCACATCACCGTTATCTCGTGAGTGGGTTCTTATAATAAGACCTCGAGTGTTGGTCCAGCCGGGGCTCGAACCCTCGACCTCCCGCACAACAGCCCGGCGCTCTAACCACTTGAGCTAACCGGGAGGCGGTTAGCTCAATTGGTTAGAGTTAATGCCGGGTCAGGGGAGGGGCAACTGCGTAGGTGCTCAGATACTTACATTATCAAGGCCAAGGATTACATTATCTACTGAGGGCCAAAGACTGAGGTAGATAACACAAACAAAGGCCTTGATAACTTCATCCCAGGCTTGAAAATTCGTTCTTAACTCTCCAGCCCCCACTCCCAATCATAATTTTAAAGAGGCTAAGTAAACACAGAAAGGTGTCCTCTTCTCAACTGTTGTACAAAAAGCCTACATAAAAAATTATTTTCTCTTCTCTTACCTGAAGAAAATCCTTGCCAGAAATCTTCTGGAGGATACTGAACCTTCCTCATGAACACCTAAAGCGAAAATACCAAAAGGATATCTAAAGTAAGTCTGAGTTTTCAATTCTCATCATTTGTCTGCTTCACAATCTGCTAAAATAGTCGGGATAATTTATTTATGGGTCTTCCCCAGGGGTGAAAGTGTAGCGATAACCTTACTGGTGACTTAATGACCAGCACTTCTGAAAAAGGGGAAAGACTAACATTTGTACTGGAAGCCACTGATGATTTCTGTATTGCATCAGTTTTCCAGAGGTTGTAGGCTGCGCTCACACTTGGTGCTCGGGCATGGTACCCAAGTAAGATTCTTGATGCATGGGCACTAATGAGAACACAATTTTTTTCAAGAACCCACACCAAGTGCCCACTGTGTGAACACAGCACCATTTTGTGCTGGTGCCCTAGCACTAATGCTTGGGCACCAAGTGTAAATGCAGCCGTAATCAACAATACTGTACCTGACAAAGGGATAACAAGACAGGTCCATACATGGCTTTGTGTTTCTCCATAGTGCTTGGTTCCTCTGTACTAATGTCATCCTGAACACAAAGGGAAAAACCAAGAGTTTTAAGCAAGAACAAAAATTACATGTCCACATATTTTTCCTTCTGCCTGTTCATTCTAACTTGTGGATTGGTGAACCCAGAGGTAACATAAAGAAAGGAAAGACAAGCACAGAAGAATCACATCTTCTGGTACACTACCCTGGTAACGACCACACACAATTTTTTTTTTAACATATGAACCTACTACAGTGTAGCAGGGGTTTTAATATCTTTTTTCATGAGTGGCTGGCAATGGTTTTATAGGCTGCTGTGCTGTAAGGCAAAACCCAAACACAACAGCCTGATCACAGGATAAACACACAGTGGGGAGAGGTCTTGCAAGCCGTGGTAGACTGCTGGTAACCGACTTTTAATAAAACCCTAACTGTAGTATATGGCTGAGGTCACCACCAATTTCTTTGTTTGTAAATGTATTATCCAGCATCCATCTGTGAGATTAGACCTCGATGAAGTTCACATCCAAACCAGGGACTAACATAATTCTTTCTTATAACAACTGTTTATTAATACCTATTTCTCTTAAAGCATTCGGAAGAATGCACAGTCTATTCTATCAACAAAACGTGATATATATATTTAGTATAATTTCGGAGCTGAGCAAAGAGTTTCCAGCAATCTGATTGGTCGAGTGGTTCCTTATATGACGCTATATAAACCGCTCCGCACGGT